GGTAAGATCTCTTCATATATTTGGTGCTTAACACTATTCGTATTTCTTAAAATAGCAACTGGATGATTCAAGAAATGTTCACTTTGTTTCTAGTCTCCATGTGAAAGCGCTCCTTGTAAGAACGGAGGTGTCTGTGTTCCTGAATATGAAAGGAACTCCTATCATTGTGAATGTAAGCCTGGATTTTGCGGAACTCACTGCAAACGTGGAGGTATTGAATTTAGTCTTTTACTGTTGCATGTGGTAGAACTGGAAGAGTCACATACTGTCATAAACCACTATTCTTGTATGTATATGGTTTACCTCTTTTCAACTTTTGGCTATGAATTCAATTTTAAATCGGTCTATTGTACTTCTTTTCCCCGATAAACATTCCCGTAAGGAGAAAATAAATTTCGTGTTCATGTCAGGCACTTTATATTAAGATAAATGAAATCTTTTACTTCTAAATTTCTTATGTTCTTTGTGGCTTTGTTATTTGTTTTTCAGGAAATCGAACTTGCAGTGACATCAAATACTGCAATCCTGAGGCTAAAAGTGGCTCTTATGTCATCGACCCTGATGGAGAGGGCGGAGTGAAACCATTTAAAGTCTTCTGTAACATGACTGACAAAGGCGGGATAGGAGTAACAGTTGTCAGTCACGACAGTGAAAACAGAACACAGGTGAATGGGTATGAAGACCCTGGTAGTTATTGGCGCAATGTTACTTATGATGAAGCCAGTCTAATTCAGCTAGCAAGCTTAACAGCTTCATCTTTTCACTGTGAGCAGTTTATTAAATACGAGTGCTATAATTCAAGGCTCCTTCTAAATGGTAGCATGTTCGGCTGGTGGGTATCACGTGATGACGAGAATATGACTTACTGGGGTGGAGTCAATTCTGTTCCCTTTAAATGTGCATGCGGTTTGAATAACACGTGCGCGGACAGAAGTTACGGCTGCAACTGCGATAAGAACGATTGGAAATGGCGAGAGGACAGCGGTTTACTAACAGACAAGTGCAAGCTTCCCGTGATTCAAATGAGGTTTGGAGATACTGGTCCCTCGAGCAATAACAAAGAAGAAGGATATCACACGCTTGGAAAACTGGAGTGTTATGGACTTACTTACTGAGAACTCACTAAGACTGTATGTTGAACATTAAAAATATTACTTGAAGACTTATTCTTTTTCTCAGATCTGAATTAAAATGGAGGTCCATGATAGTCAAGAGAAATGTAATGAATTGGTAATTTGATTGTAGTGAAGTGAGAAAAATGGAGAAATTCAAGATGTGTGACTAAAAGTATTTGAAAAAAATTTTAGCCGAATGTCACACTCAGTGTTGGACCACTCAAGTGTTTTGGACTCATTAATACTCAAAAAAGGGTCATTAACTTTAAGTAGTTGCTATAGTGATACTTGTGTGTCAAAACTCATTTGTTTTTAATTAACATTACCCTTTTACCGCGTTTGAGAATTTCAAGAGACGTTAAAGCTGTTGCCTGCGGTGAAAAATCTGCCATCATTTAACAAAACTCATACATGCTTCTAATTAGTTGGAATATGTCTTTGATGTAATTTGATGATGACACAATTTGTTAACCAAAGCAAAGGGGAAACGACCAAGCTGGAAGTTAGTCTGCCAAGGAAAACTTAAATTAAAGATTCTAAGGACGTCAAGTTGCAAACTTTCAC